ACTAAGAGTTTATTTAAATGAGTAGACATTCCTCACGGTCAAACACGTGGAGAATTGGGGTCATAACGGAAAGAGGGAGATCCCAGTGTAGCTTACTGCTCACTCCAGCATCTAGGAAAGGAGGCGCTACCCAGGGATGAGAGAACCAAAAAGGTCGTATCACCTTGAACTTGCATGATTTCAGAAGCTAAGCAGGGTTGGGTCTGGGTAGGAGAATCAAAAAAGAATGAAATTGTCCCCTTCCTAAGGAGAGAGCAGGCTCCGTAAATCTGGAAGGGAGGAAGAATTCTGGGGACTTTCCATATTTAGGGAAAAGCAGATGCGGATTAGAAAATCACTGAGAATTAAGGCAGAACCCAGGTAGCCGCGGTTTCTGTTACCTGTAATAGTAAATGCCATTTGACTGGCCAGTCAGCCTGCGGAAACTCCGTGTGGAAGCCAATGTAAGTGGGACAGAGACAGGCCTCAACAGTTCCCACTCTTGCTTCACAGCTCTCTGCTAGGTTCCTGTGGCCTGCCCATGCACAGGGAGATAACCCAACACTTCTCACACTTGCTTGTGACGTCAGCTAAGCAATATCAGTCCCAAGGAACCCACACCCCAACCTCCAGAGAAGATGACATTCCCTCAGGGGGCCACTCTGGAAGAGCTCCTTAGGGAAGAAAGGCTGTACCCTCCCCGAACCACTGTCTCCTGAAATCTTTGTTTTGCCCTAGACAGGGGAGAATAGAGTAACCTCTGCCAGGAGCTCACTCCTTGTGAGTCCACTCTGTCTTCTTACCCCTCACCGTCACACTTCCCTAGCTCAGTCAAAGAAAATGAACGCAAATCCTAAACCAGAAAAAGGAATAGTTAGAGAAAGAACCAGGCAGGGAGACTTGATTGGTCCCAAGAGCCAGTCTGAGGGCAAGACACTGCAGTGAACTGGCCAGGATGGATTCTGCAGGCAACTCACCCAGGCTCTTGGGGATTGACCAGGGGTTGCACGTCCTCCGACAGTGCCTGTCTGCTTAGTTAGATTGCAAGGTTCAGCCACAGTGAGCAGGCAGGAGGTCCAGGCAAAAGGTGACAGGGGTGATACTGAGGAAAAGGTGTCCAGTAATTAAGGAGAAACCAGAGGCTCCATATTGGATGGCCAGTTGGAAAGAGGGTTGAAGAGGTGCTTGAAAGAATGGGAGTGGAGGCCATGGAGCGTAACAGAGGGAAGGGTGGAGGAGGCTGTGAAGAAGGGCTGGAGAAGGCACTGGGCTGAGCATACTTTGGGGGCGGAAAGCAAACAGTAAAAACGGAGCCACATGGGAGAGAAAGTTGTGGGGAGACGGTAGGATGGAAAATGAAGCTATCAGGCAGGAATTAGGAGTGGAAGTAAGAACGGAGGCAAAGGCTAGGGGTGGGGGTGGGGCAGATGTCTGAGGTGGGTTGGTACCGGGAGTCAGACCTGAAGTAGAGAGCTGGGTCATGGGAAGAGGACAGACCTTCAGAAAGCATACCAGAAACTGGAATCATAAATGTTGGGAGAACAAGGAGCCAAGGGGAAAGACCTTGGGAAGGAAGAGGTTAGGGAGGTTGAGGGACAGGTTTGGGGAGGCACCCGTAAGTTCAGTTAGCAGAGCTGGCGGCCGCATTGCCGGAGCAGCCGCGCAGCAAAAAACCGATGCAGGCTTAATGCGATCGTCCAAGGAGATGGGACTCAGGACTTCTGGCAACACAGGACTTGGACCCCAGCCCCAGACCTTCTCTCACACATTTGGCACCTACCGCCACTTGTGAACTGGAGCAGGAGAAGATGCGCTTCATGGCCGGGGCTAGGGCCACGGGGGGACGGGGACGCGCAGAGAGCCGGGCCACAGGTTCTCAAACCCACTCGCCTAGGCTGTGGGAGAGACAGCTGTCAAAAAGCAGAATGGGTCCCGCCCTAGGCCCCGCCCCAGATCCCACCCCGCTCAATCGAAGACGTGAACCCAAAGACTGGGCTTGAAACCCCGCCCCAGGCCCTGCCCCACCCCGCCCCTGCAGAGGCAAAAAGCCCGCAGTCTTCCGCGGCGACCAGGGCTGGGCCTCAAGCCCCGCCCTCCAGCCTGAGCCCGCCCCCCGCACCTACCGACTCTGAGAAGGATGCTCTCGGCCTCCGCAGAGGCGCCTCCGAGGCCCCACCTCCTACTCCTTTCTGCGTGGAGCTCCGCCCCAAAGGATCTCGGCAAGCTTCGATGTCACCAACCGTCCCCTTTACCAGTGATGAGGCTGTGCTTCATCCCCTCCTCCCCGACGAAAACCCAAGCCCTGAAGATCTTCAAAAGAGAACAGTTTGGAAACAGTAGGCGCTTGTAACGCTAAACAGACTTGAGAACCAGTGTGTGGCCCACTGCACCCAGAGAGACAAAACCCGAAAAAGATTAGGCCGATCGCGTAAGGCAGCTCTTTGAAAGGACCAAGGGGAGAATTTTTTACTGTATGCTTGTTCGTCTACAAACACACACACACACACACACACACACACACACACACACACACACACACACCCCTTCCGTTTCACGGTCCTTTGGATCCGTTCTTGGTAATTCTTGTTTGACCGGTGTTGCTAAGCCAACCGATCTGGCCATCTTTCCCTTCTCCTCCCTGTAACCCCTACAAGCCCACCCAAATATGCTTGAAACTCTAAGGAATAAAGCCCAAAGTTCTCTTGAGAAGTGTTTTTTTTTAAAGACTTATTTATTATGTATACAATGTTCTCTCTGTGTGTATCCCTGCCCATGTGGTTGCTGGGAATTGAACTCAGGACCTTTGGAAGAGCAGGCAATGCTCGTAACCGCTGAGCCATCTCTCCAGCTCCTCTTGAGAAGCGTTTTACATTAACTCATTTATTGGGGGGAGGGGCATGAGTGAGTACTAATGGAACACTTCTGGAGAGGTCAGAGGGCAACCTGCAAGAATTGGCTCCCTCTGTCCAACATGTGGGTCCAGAAATGATTCAAGTAGCGGGGCTTGGCAGCAGGCAGTCCCTCTAAGATGCTCCAAGCCCAAAGTTCCTAACATGGTTTACAAGGCTCTTCTGAAACAGAAGCCCGAAGAAGGTGGTGGAGGTGCACACCTTTAATCTCATCGCTCGGGAGGCAGATGCAGGCAGATCTCTGCGAGTTTGAGGCCATCCCAGTGCTACCGAGTGATTTCCAGGACAACCAGGTCTACACAGAGAAACCCTGTCTCGAAAAACAAACAAAATAACCAAATTAACTGTTGTAGACCATACGTAATTCCCTTTGCAGTTGATGTATTCTAGGTGGAGCCTCACGTGAATTGCTGTTTTGTTTTGTTTTGAATTGTTATTGTATATTTCCCCTTAGAACCCCGACAACCTGCCCATCAGAGTGCGCATCTTGGCGTGCGACTTACTGGCAGTCCTTATGGTCACCTACACAGCCACCAATATGTTCTGTGTTTACATATTTGTGTTTCCTATCAGGTTCTCTGATGGCAGCATCTGTGGGTTTTTTTTTTTTTTTTGTTTTCGTTCCCTTGCTTGGCACATATTAGGTCTTGAATGTCTGTCAAGTGAATGAGAGAATGGATGAATGAGCATAGAAGCAACAGGAAAAACAGTCCAGTGTAGTAGAAGAGACCATTGCTTCTCCACTGGTTTTGCTTCAAAGGACTAAAAGGCTTTTTGAGAAGCAGGCTGCAGTTAGAGAAAGCCCCACTCCAGAGCTGAGGGTGGAGAGGGGGCAGGTATGTCCTTGCTAGGAGAACACAAATAACACATTTGATATTCGCCAAAAGGTTAATAATTTTGACACAAAGGAAAAAGAAAAGTTTTCTTTCAAAAATTATTACATTTCTTTATTTCTGTGTCCACGTGTATGTGGGGCTGTTGCCGTGACAGTTGTGGCGTTCAGGACAACCTGCAGGGGTTTGCTCCTTCCAGCATGTGTAACCTCATCCTGGGGATCAAACTAGGGGGCCAGGCAGTGTGACAAGCACCTTGACCTACCTACCACCTATCTGCCAGCCCCAGAGGGTTCTTTCAGTCATGTGGACAAAAGAGGGGCTGGAGGAAGGTTCAGCATTCCAGAGTACTTCCTGCCCTCTGGTCGATGATATTAGAGTCATAGAACCTAGGGAATGAATCTCTCTCTCTTCTGGACGATGATATTAGAGTCAGAGAACCCAGGGAATGAGTCTCTCTCTCTCTCTGAGAGATTCATTCATATATGCATATACACATATGTAGAGTCTGCCTCAAAGGGTGTGAGGCACAGGACAGGACTTAACAGAGGGAGCTAATGTGTAAAGAGGAATGGCGTCAGGCCGGGAACCGCTGATTACTTCCGTACACCTCCTTAGTCGTCTTCATGGTGCATGGAATGGTGGGTTACCTTACAGGGTTTGTAATTATGGCTGCTGTTTATTAAACATTTACTACATGTTCACTTTTCCTGGACTGTCTCTCTTAGTCCTCAGAACCTCTAGTGAGGAAACTAACACAGAAGTTAAATGTGTCCCAGGCCACATGCGTTTGAAAAAGGATGGCCTATACACCCAAATCTGCCTTTATTCCTAATCCTGGACCACAAAATCTGTTACCTGAACCTCCAAGAAACTCTGACTTGTTCAAGAAGACATGGCACAAATGAAAGACCAGAGCCTGGCCACACTGGCCTTTTACTCCAGAACTCAGAAGACAGAGGCAGGAGGGTCTCTGAGTTCGAGGCCAGCCTGATCTACAGAGCGAGTTCCAGGTCAGCCAGGGCTACACGGAGAAACCCTGTCTC